ATTTTTTTGCCATAGAGACTTGCTTCCCTGTTTGTGGGACAGTGTTTCTGAAGGCTCTTTGTCCAAGGTCCTCAGTGAGAGATACACTTTCCATGCTGTGGTTCAGGCTGCAGCGACAGGGACACACACATACCTGAAGCAAATGTGTCACAAAACCACCCCCCCGCCTTGCTAAGTGGAATCCGCTCTGACAATTTCTGTTCTGTCATTTTCTACGCGACTCGGCTTGCTGCTTTTCCACGCTGCCCACTTCTGTGTCTATTCTGTTAGCCTTTTCTGCCCTAATTCACGGCATTTGCCGCAGGTGTGGCTTTACATGTCTTTGTGGGATTCATGAATTGATGCCTGTCCAACCACGCCCCACACTTAACCGCCCCAAGACCCAGGGTGGGCAAACTTTTTCTTCAATGGCCAGCTGGGATGTATTTGGGGCTTCGCAGGCCACACTGCCTCTGGTTCCCTGCTCTACTCAGTTTTTGTAATGCAAACGTAGCTGCAGGCAATCCACCCTGAACCAACGGGCTTCTACAAAAACAGCCCCCCGGCCCGTGGGCCCCAGTGTGCCAACTCCTGTCCTGGACTGTGGGCTCCATGGCAGCAGGACCTAGTCTGTTTTTATTCACCATTTATCGCCAGCCCCTATGAAAGGCTTTGGCACCTAGTAGGTGCTCAATTAACACTGAGGGGCTGCAGGCTGACTTCTCAGCCATCATATTCAGAATTACATTGAACAGCTGTGGTTTTGCCCCCAAATCTCCATCCTCCTTTCTTCTCTCCAGCTTCCCATTGGGGGAACACCTGGCTGCTGAGCTCCGGGGGGCCTGACGACTTGGCTTTGCCCCTCTGCTTGGGTGGGCATGTGACGCTGGCCTGGCACATCTGATGTGCCCTGACCGGCTCTGGGATGGTCACACGACTCCAGCTGGGCCAACAAGAGTGAAACCTGGGAATCTGCCTGGACCTCTGTCATGAGAGGAGACAGAACGGGCCGAGCTGGTGGGCACAAGTCTGTACGTGCCGGTGGCCCCTGCACGGGAAGCCTCTGCTGGCCATCGTCACGGAAGAAAACCAAACAGGAGACGGAGAACGCCGGACACTGACATTACTGTGCGGACCCTTGAGCAGTAAAGGGTTAACTCAGCAAGACTGGGTTGTCCCAGCCCCGCATGTTCCAAAGAAAGGACTTTGGATTGAAAAGATTATTAAATGCCTACCGTGAGCCTTGACAGATCCCTGGGGGGAACCTTGGAACATGTCTGAGAGCGTCTTTGTCTACCCGGGATGTGGGCCACACAGGACGGTCTCTGCCAACACTCTGATGTACGCCGGGGCCTGGGGCCATGCTGTGTCACTCTGACCCCTGGAGGGGCTCCATGCCCACGTGGCCAACCCCCAGCAAAAACCCTGACCACCAAGGCGGGGGTGAGCTTCCCTGGCGGGCAATACTCCTCGCGTGTTGTCACACATCGTCGCTGGGGAAGCTAAGCGCTGTCCACACAGCTCCACGGAGAAAGGACAGCTGGAAGGCCGTGCCTGCACTCCCCTGGGCTCTGCCTTATGTACTCTTTACCTTTGCGGATGTTAATCTGTGATAAGCTGTGACTGCGAGTGTAGCAGCTGTTCTACCTTCCGTGAATCCTTCCAGACAATCACCCAACCTGAGCGGGGTCTTAGCGACCCCTGACTCAGCCCGGGCTGCAGCTGCACCTCCAGCTGTCTTGTATCCTTTTGTCCATGTGTGTTTGAGTCACACTTTTTTGTCACCTCCTACCTAAAGAATCCCAGCTAACGGAGGTTGGGCTAGTTGGCCCCATTTTACAGATGCAGAAAACTGAGGCCCAAACAGAGGAAGTCGCTTGCCCAAGCAGACCAAGCCCCAAGGCCCTGTCCCCTCACCGCCCTCACCTTGGTAAAGAGCCGCCACCACTGCCAGTGCCTGAGCTTGAGGTAGGCCGCGCAGTTCCGCTGCATCACCCGCAGGGCGCTCTGCTGCTGCTGCCGCTTCTGGAAGGCCCTGGGCGGGGACACAGGAGGGCGGGAGAGTGGGGGCTCTGCCCCTCCAGGGCCTGTCCCCTCAGCGAGGGAGCCGAACTCCTTTCATTTAGTCAGCCATTATTAAATGCCTACTGTTGTGTTCGGCTCGTTAGTCCTCCTGCCCCAGCCCTAGTTCAGGCCCCATCCTCCCCCACCTCGCCCTCACTCCAGCCTCTTCCCAGCCTCCCACCCTCTAGCCTCTCGTCTCAGTCCCTCCCCGACATGCCCGCAGTGGGTGTTCCCGCACCCAGAGCTGATCCAGCCCTCCCCTGCCCGCACACCTCCCCGGCACCCTGGACAAGGCTCCCGCCCCTCAGCCTGGTGTTTGGGGCTCCTTTCCCGCCCCTCTCTATTCTCTGAGCCACTCCTAAGGAGGAAGGAGACGCCCACAAACTTCCTGCCTTCCCGAAACGTGCCCGCCTCTTGCAGCACCGGGCCTTGGCACCAGCCGTCTCTCCTGCCTGGAACGCCTTTCCCGTTCCCCTGCATGCACCTGCTCCCAGCGTGACCTGGGGAAGCCTTGGCCTGCAGCAGGGCCTCCTCACGACACCTGTGTGGCCCCCATCAATGCACGCCTGAGCCCGGACTGTGACTCTGTGCCCAGACTGCGACTCTGTGCCCAGACTGCGGTCCCTCGAGGGCCTGGCCAGGTAGGGCGAACAACGGACCTGGTTCAGCCTGGGCTTTCTGTGTTAGCACTGAAAGTCCTGCGTCCTGGGAAACCCAGACCCAGGCAGACTGGTTGACAGGTCACCCTGTGGCCGGGTCTAGCTCCTCTGTGTGGCCAACGTCACTCAGCACAGGGCCTGATCCGCATGGGCCCCCGGGGCCTGCAGAACCAAGAAGCCCAGGCACCCCGCAGCTCCACACCCACTTGTTTCTTGGCCCTTCCACTGTCTCGGAGGCCCCGACACTGGGGCCATCTGGTCAACCCCTCCCTGACCCAGCCTCTACCCCAGGAGACAGTGTGACCCCCACCTGCGGGCCAGGTATCCCCGGGCGGCTGCCTGGAAGGACACAATGATGTCGGTGACTTTCAGGTCCCGCTCCTCTTCCAGCTGGGCCAGGACCCCCGCCCGGAAGAAGATCTTGCTCTGTCCCACGCGGTAGAGGTTGGGGTCCAGTTCCAGGGCCTGGATCTGTGAG